TTATTATTATTATTATTCACGTGTTTTGAATGTGGAACATACATTTAATAGTTCAGTTTTTCTTGTCTTATTGTTTGAAGCAATTGTGGCTGAGTGGTTAGGAGAGTCTCCTCTGATCTGAGAGTTGGCAGTTGGATTCCACCACGATTCAGTCACATGTCGAAGTGTCCCTGGGCAAGGCACTGAAACTCTGCCTCTCATCAGTGTGATGTTTCTTTATGTATCTGTGTTAGTTTTGTAGAGAGATCTGAGTGCTGTGTGGATGTGTGGATGTGTAAATGAGGGCACAGATAGAAAGGTATTACAGTCCATTTTCTATTTAAATGTTATAAAATACATAAATGTTTCTTCTCATTCTATTCTACATCTAATTTAGTTTAATTCGAATGCAGTTTGTTCATCTTTCTGATTTTATTTTTCCCCTAACACCTAACTCCCTGCCTGTTCAGCACCGGACAGCTCCGGTCCCCCACGCTCCGCCCACCTTCCTGCAGAAACATCCGCCCACTCTGGTGGGCAACGATTCACACCGCCTCTTATGGTTCTTACTGGGAGGGAATCACTTCGCTCCCCCTTCCTTCCTCTTCATCCTCTTCCTCACAGAGTGATAAATAGACCGCGCAGCTTGAAAGGTGGCTGAAAGTCGCGCTTGTCTCCAGGAAATGCCTGTAACATCCAGGTTCCAGGCGGTCCTGCCGGCGGTCAGGACGTTTATCTGGGGATGATTCCCTCCGTGTCCCCTCTGCGTCTGTGAATCGGAGCCATGGTTCTAATGATCCTCCCCTTCCTTCTGCACACAGGACTGGTTCTGGGCTCAAACTACGGCTATGTGGAATGGTCGGACAATGACCGAGACGAGAAGCACCCCCCGGTCCTCAGCACCCAGAAGCAGCCCACCTTGCACGCGCCGGCAGCGGCCACGGAGCGCACCGTGGTGGCGCACAAGATCGAAGAGGACCTGCCGCGGGTGGTGACGGCTTTCCTGCACACGGGGGACTCCTCCGCCCTGAGGCAGGCCAACTGCTCCCGGAGGTGCGAGCTGAGCAACCTGCGGGGGGGCCTCCACGTGGCCTCTCACTACTCCCTGCACAGCATCCTGGACACGGTGGCGCACGCCACCAACTTCCTGAACATGATCCTGCAGACCAACAACAGGTCCCGGGAGCAGACCCTCCCCAGGGACATCCACTGGTACCACGCGCTGGTCCAGAGCATCCTGGAGGGGGACCCGAAAATCCACAGAGCCGTGGTGACCCTGCACCCGGACTCTCCGGCTCCGGAGCCCCTCGTTTTCCTCCAGGCGACCAGGACCGAGAAGGAGGTGGTGCTGCAGGACCTGTCCGGCTCCGCGCACCGCCAGCTGAAGAACCGGAGCCCCGAGTCCGACTGGTTTAACGAGTTCAGGGACGTGAAGAGGTCGCACGCGCACAGGAGAGGCTCCAGCGGCTGGGGGTCCTACAGCGAAGGCTACCTGTTGAACAAAAACCACATCAAGTGGTCGGCGCCGTACCTGGAGTGTGAACACGGGACGTTTGTGCCTTACTGGCTGCTGACACTGTCTGCGGGCTTTTATGAACTGAAGGGGGGCTCTGCTCCAGAGTTCAGGTAGGACACCTGCGGGGGCGGGAAGGGGAAGGGTGGGCTACTTATTTAACGTGATCATGGTTGATTGATTCCGTTAGATCAGGGGTGTCAAACTCATTTTCACCGAGGGCCACATGAGCGTTATGGTGGCCCTCGAAGGGCCACTTGTAATGAACTTTGATGTTTCCTGCTTAACTTTGTCTAAACAAAGTTTTAACACGTCTTCTTTAAACACTGATAAGAACTAAGTGTATGACTGACTAAATCTGAAATAAATACAGAAATATTATTAAAAGTAAAAAAAAAGTTTTACTCACTGAGTTTCTAGTGAGTAGCTGCATTATGACAGATTTACTTTATGTTTGATGGTGACTTTAAAGCAGCTTATTTTCAGACATTAGTACTGTGCTA